TCTTTCTTTCTTTCTTTCTTCCTTGGCAACATTGGATAATAAAAGCTGAACAGCTGAGTGATACTCTTGCCCCCCCCACCACCACCCTAACCAGGGATCTAAGACTCAGAAGCTGGAAAACAGTTTCCATTTGAATAATAGTAACCAAAAAAAATTTAAACAACTTTTCATTGCTTTTTGCTGGCAAATAATAAAAACCTTCAGATTTGACCTCCATTTCAGTGGCAGCATTGTACTTGGTGACACCGCCACCACAATATATAAGCTTTATCTTTTGAAAAGGGGGGGGGGCTTTCTTTGTACAGTAGCACATTAACTTTAAAGAGCACTTACCTAAAGAGTTCAGCTCATCCTTCCGGTAAATTTAAGAAAAGTTCATCTTGAGATTGTCTGTTTCAATCATGTATAATGTAGATAACTCCACGTCTAAATTGTTACAAAAGCTAGGGATCGGGGAAATGGCGGAGGAGGGGGGGAAGGATGCCACAGGTGATGTGTTCAAATACAGAATCCTAGCAGTCCTCTTCTCCCTTATCCTTTAATGAAGGCTCTGGTTAATAAAGGGATGATACACGAAGATGTCTACTTCTCTCTCTCTCTCTCTTACAAATTTTCATTACTCGAATTCGATTACAAAAGTGGCTGCTCAGTACAGTGTAGTGGTTTCTCAAGTTGCAAGTTGAGCAGAGCTCAAGCATCAAAGAACACCGGATTGTATTACTAGCATACTCCTTGATAGTAGACACTGTGCTAAGAAAGAAAGAAAGAAAGAAAGAAAGAAAGAAAGAAAGAAAGAAAGAGCGAGCCAGCCCTTCACCTGCCTCCTGGGGGTACGAAGGCAAACATGGAGGTTCCAGGGTAACCCTGAAGGTCTGGCAACCCTACTCACAGATTTTCCATGGAAGATATTGCCAGTGGTTTAGAGTAAAGAAGGGCAAGGACTTGTAGAAACTTTTGAATAGGGTGACGACTTCAGTCTGGGATACAAAGTCTACCACTAGCCAAAGAGAGAAACAAAAACGTACAGTCCAACTAGATATGTTTTGGAGTTGTTTTAATTTCTGCTTATTCTTCGTCAAACAATTGCCCTCACATTTTAGAAATCCTCTATACCAGCCTTTCTCAACCTGTGGGTCCCCAGATGTTGTTGAACTACAACTCCCATCACCCCTTGCTAGCAAGGCCAGAGCTCAGGGATGATGGGAGTTGTAGTCCAACAACATCTGGGGACCCACAGGTTGAGAACCACTGCTCTATACTATCCTGAGGACTAGAATCCTTGAATGTAAGTGCAGAAAACCAGAGTCCATCACAGAGGGCATAGGAACCAACTTTTAGGGGCACAATAAATTATTTGAGGGGGCCACCCCCCATTGGTTGGTATTCCCATTCGAATGGGGTGTGTGCACTGTGTCATGTGATCGATTATGTGGGATGGGGCTTACCTGAGCCTCCACAATATTTAATTCAAGTTGGCACCCCTGACAGAGGTAAGGTGCAATTATTTGATGAATATGTGGCAGCTGATCACTTCTTCGCAATGTCACTCAACTGACAAGGAATTTACTTGCTTATATTTACTGAACTGGCTGACAAGGATGACTAACATAGCAGCGTCACATAGTTAAAGGCTCAATGCCTCCGTTTTGGGAGAGCTTCCTGTAAGCATCTCTACCTTCTCCCCCTCTTTCCTCCTTCCTACATCAACACAGAGCATCAAAACTTCGGGAGAGCTCTTTCTCATTAGGGTTACAATTACCTTTTCCAGCCAGTGATGCTTTACATCGAACCATGGTTCATGAGAGCAGCAGGTGATACCTGTAAGCACCCTAATGTGTTAAACGACCATGCCGGGTAACATTAGCTCTCTCTAGCAGTGGCTCCGTACAGAGACCATCTGCCAAGAAAGGTTAGTTTGTGTCTTTAAGTTATTGGGCTTTCACCTTAAGGGGGGTGGGGGAAACCATGCATTTAGGAAGTCAATGATTACATCCAAGCTACCTTGCCTTAGCTGAAAGCCACAAACAGAGTAGGTCTATAGTGAACTTTAGGCAAGGTTTGTGGCTTCCGGTGTGCAGAAGTGGAAATCTGGGCAAAAGTACAAGCTTGCACAAACAGTTCAGGTGGATTTGACACATACAATCTGCTGTGGTGCATATAATATATTTGAAAGAGCGAGCAAAAGTAAACCCGAACAAAAAGATATTTATTCTTCAGATTTAAAATTAATTTCCTGTATTCCTCAGGGAAACACCTCCCCTCATCCTATCCAAAGGCATAACTTTATGAGAAGAAAAATGGGGAAAAATATATTTTTTTTATTTACACACCATGGGGTGAAACGCTCCCCCACGGAAAAGCAGAAAAAAGGGATCTGCTGGCTGTTTCAGGTTGTGTTTGCTGCTCTTCTCCATGTTAGGTAATCAGATGTCGTTTAGGCGAAATAAATTGGAACAACTTGAATAAAAAAAAAGAAAAAGCGAGAGAGGTGAAAGTGCAGAATCTGGTTTGGATAAAAGTTTAATTCTACGGTTCCAAGTGACATCGCCCTTTTACAGGAAGCAGAGCATACCGAGACAGGAGTGGCCAAGTAATGAAGATGGATTCATCTTGTTATCAGCGAGTCATTTACAAGGGCTTGAGGTAACCTTAAACATAGCAGATAGCTCAATGGCACTTGCCACTAAGCCTCTAATTAATGAAGAGCAGGCTCTAAATTAACAATGTACATTTACAGACAAATTCCGAGCGAATGCATTCAAGCCGTGGCCCTGAAATGGGGCAGTCGGCTCTGTTCTTTCCAAAAGAGTTTGCTCGGGAGGCCCACGGAGTTCAGCAGCTGTGCGTCCAGGTGTGCAGCCGAGAAGGGAGCAGTTCAGCGAAGGGCAAGGCAGCGTCATTTAAATCATGCCCTGCAACACCTGCGCAGGCGACGAAGGTGCATCAGCATGATCCCTTTATAACTGCGAATATAAAGACTTTTGATTTCCTGGAGACATTCTCAGACTTCAATTTGATATGACACTCCTCTTCCAACACCCACACTAATATATATTTAGGGCTGGCCCAGATCGCTCTCTTGGGCTTTGGGGAATGTGCAAATTTGTTCGTAGGCAATTAAAATATCGCTGGAGGTGCCTGCGACATGATGGAGCACCCTCAAATACCGTCACGGCAGAGATGTGAGCTGGTGGAGTGAAGCTCCTCCTGAAAGCCGAACGGAGATATTTATGCGCCAATTAAGATGTATTTCCCAGAAACAACAACAACAATAGTAGTAGTAGTAAGGATCTGATTTGTCCTTGTGCATTTCCAAGATGGGGGGGAGAACCCTATCAAGAAAGAATATGTGGTGACCCTATCCTTCAGGAACAGAACACTGTAATATCTGAAGTGGTTTAATCATTGCGAAGCTGTGTGCAGAACACACACCCTCTTCCCCCCCCCCATCCTTATTGCAGATAGGCTGAGCTGTGTACAGATGACCATAACTACCACAGAGTGTGAGTTCTGCTACCTCTGGGTAGGTTGATCAGTGGTATCAGAATTTAACTGCACATTAATAGTTGCTTTTGGACATTCAATGAAGGCACTTGGGAAATAAGTGTGTGTTCATTTGGAGTGACTGCGCAGAGCCTCTGTGCACACGAATGTGTGTAAGTGTCTTTCTGCACACCGTTTGTGTTGATTTTATGCTGCCACCAAGACATAAGAGTTTTCTGGGCAGCTTATACAGGGTTGCCATACAGCTGGGAATTTCCAGACAAGCCCTCTTTTGGGGGTCCTTTTAAAGCACATGCCCTGGATTTCGTGTTCAAATTTTATTTTTTGTGCGGGCAGCTCTGGTTCGGGCTCAACAACTTTGTGTGTCCAGATTTTTACCTCTTGAACAATGAGGCCAAACTTAGATTCACAAAATGTTTAGGGGTATGTGTACCCCCGCTTACCCCCCAGAAAATAGGTGTGTAATATAAAATGTAAAGCAAAATAAAGCATAAAACCATTTTAAAATGATGGCTGGGGGACTACCTAAATAACAAAACAGAACTCAGCGCACCCTCAACATTAAAAACAGAGGCCCAGGGCATATTTACATTGCCACCTTAGAGCTTAATGAAGTGGGGTGTTTTGTGAATTGCAGAGCTCTCCCTCCACAGCTGCTCACATCAGCACAGCTTCATTAGTGTCAGGTTCATTTCTGTTTCATTTCTGAGGGGCAGACTTGTATTTAACCCATGCAAAGGTGTTCACACCTTGGCTAGAGACAAATTAGGAATGGCTTACACCAGGTGGTGCTGTGGGTTAAACCACAGAGCCTAGGACTTGCCGATCAGAAGGCCAGCAGTTCGAATCCCTGCCACGGGGTGAGCTCCTGTTGCTCGCTCCCTGCTTCTGCCAACCTAGCAGTTCGAAAGCACGTCAAAGTGCAAGTAGATAAATAGGTACTGCTCCAGCGGGAAGGTAAATGGCATTTCCATGCGCTGCTCTGGTTCGCCAGACTCTGCTTAGTCATGCTGGCCACATGACCCGGAAGCTGTACGCCGGCTCCCTTGGCCAGTAAAGCGAGATGAGTGCCGCAACCCCAGAGTCATCCGTGACTGGACCTAATGGTCAGGGGTCCCTTTACCTTTACAAGGATTCCAATCAGTGTGAGAAACAACACATCAAAGTGTAGTATTTCTTAACAAAGTAAAGGATATATATGCATTTTGCCTACCATCATTTGAACATGGATTAGAAACCTAGCACTGGAAACGCAGTGAGGGCGCAGCCCTGGATTACCTAAATTGTTTAAAAGGCCTGAGTGAAAACAAAAAAAGAGCAACTGACAAAACCTAGATGGAAGGTGCTGAAATCACCCAGCCCCAGTTAACAATCTTGTAGTTCTGTTCTGGATCAACTGCATTTTCTTTTTTTCTTTTTTTCCATAATTTTTATTAGGTTTTATGCAATTATAACACATACTGCAACAAACGTTGCACAACCAAAAAACAAACCACAACAAAAACCAAAAAAAGAGAAAAAATGCATCTATAAGAAATAACAGCAAACAGATAAACAACACAAACAAACTTAATTATTTAAAAATCCAGCCTTATAAACATGTTACTTGACTTCCTCTAATCCCTCCCTTCTGAATTTCCTTGTATCTGAATGTAACACTTTTCCAATATCATTATTAAACAACAATATTCCAGTTATAAGCAAATTTCTTCACTTTTCTTCGTGTTCTAAATCCCATTTATTTAATCCTAATTTAATCCTAGGCCTGTTTGGTACTTTCAAGTAACTTCTAGTTTTTAATATTACAATATTTATTCAAATAGTCCTTAAATTTCCTCCAATCTTCTTGATATTCCTCTTCTTTCTGGTCGCGGATTCTTCCAGTCAGGTCAGGTAGCTCCAAAAAGTCCATCATCTTCATCTGCCCTTGGATCAACTGCATTTTCTGGAATGTTTTTCAAAGCAACCACAGATGCATTGCAAGGGTCCAAATGGGAGGTTACCAGAGCATGGGAAATTGTGGCCAGGCTCTCTCCATTCAGGTGGGGTCACAGCTTGGGCACTCAAGTTCCTGCTTTTTCCCGAGTTCTCAGAATGAGCCCTACTCATACACTTATACATGATGTCAGGCACGCCCTCCAAGATTACTCTGACCAAAATTACGGCGCATATCTTTTGGTGTGTCGCTGCAGCTTGAGTCAGCTGGCTCCCGCAAGGCACGAGCTCCAGCTCACCCCCAGGACATTCTGGGATCCTGTCAGAAACCGGAATGGCTTCTGTAATTCCATGAATGTCCAGGGAAAATAGGGGTAGTTGGAGTTATGGAAGGTCTATCTAGACCTTGAAGTCAGGAATGAGGCCAACTGCTGCAATCCCACCTTCATCTTGTCCCTGTACTGTAGCAGCAGTTGTCAGGGAACTGCCATCAGCTCAGGGGCGAGAGGGGACAAGGCGGATGGATTACAGAGAGCCCCCAAAGATCGTGGGAAGCAGCACTTCCTCAGCGAAGGAAGGAAGCCACGCCTCTAGTGGGGAGGAGATGCAGGGCTCGGGGGATGCAAGGCGGTGCCAGGACACCTTGCCTGAGCAAAGCGGGGAGGAGGGAGGTCCCCCGTTAGCCAAGCCTTCCCTGCGCAGTAGGCTTTCACGCAGAGAGGGGAGGTGCAGACTGGGGGTCAAGTAACTACTCTGCTGGGGAAGATTTAAGGACCGCCCACTCTCGGATTCTGCCAGTGAATGAGCAAGGCATGAAATAGAGGCACTCTGCATTGTAAAGGGGTTTTTTTTAGCACCAATAAGAAAGCTTTAGAACAGACTAGTGAGGCATCTTGCCTGATTGCTCTTGAGCGACCACCCGATACCCTTAACAGCAGTGTAGAAAAATTAATTCTTTAGGTGCAGCTTTCCAAATTCCCCATGTAATATATGATTTTCCTTTGTATTATTTCAGCTACAGAAAGATGTTTCCCCCATCCTTCCTTTCCCCCCTATTCACTCCAGTCTATTCCAGATTCTAGTCTGGGCAGCATAGCTCAACTGTGCAGGAGGTTCTTATTCCTCTACTTCTGTCCATACCAGGTCACTCAACCATTGCTACTGTGTCCTTTCTTCTAGCAGATCAAGATAATCAGGTGACAGCAAGAACTGCACAATTTTTAGCAGGGGCAATTAGAATAAGATCTATTATTTGATTATTGATGTAAACCTCCAGAGTGTATTTTGTCTGGTTAAGTTTTTACCACTAGCTTCAGTACATTATATTTTATTTTATTGCTATGGCTAGCGGCTGATGCAAACAAAGCTTCTTCTGATTCTGTGCAGGAGCCAAATATATAGGCCTGCAGCCAAATATATGGGGAGTTATCTCAAGGCAATATATGATCCTTTATCTCTGCAGGAAGGGAGAATATGTCAATTCCAGTTTCTCTCAGTTTCTCATTTTTCCAAATATTAACTTCAGTTCTCCACATTTCCACATCAGTTGTGAGGGGGGTGTAAGTTTTCCTCACAGAAATTTATCAGAATTTTAGCATTGATATTTTCTTTTGTTTTTTTAAATGATATTTATTGAAAAAATTTTGAATTACAGAGAAAAAACAAAACAGAAAAAAGAAAAAACAAAGAAAAAACAAACCACATCCAACAATACAAATTCAAAAAACAAAAATACACCGCAAACAGACAAAAAGTAAATCCATCATTCTCAAATCCTCAACTCTCATTACCTTCTTTCTTTGACCTCCTCCTCCTCCCTTTTTTTGTATCCTAGTTAATAATTATCGCAGCAAATCCTTTCCATATTTCATAATATTCTGTCTTTACATTACCTTAATCTATTTTCATCTTATCTTATAAAAACCTTAAAACTTAAACTTAAATCTTATTTTTACCGACTTCTCACAGCCATAATATTCTTACCTAATTCTTTAAACATTTTTACTAGAGCCAAGTAATTTCGTTCCAACATTTTTCTAACATTCATCCATTTTATAAAACAATCCTGGTAATAAGAAAAAAATAATAATAAAAGCAATCCAATCTTCATCCAGCGTCCCTTCCTCCTGGTCCCGGGTTTTGTCAGTCCTTTTTTCCCATCAATCTAGCGCATTAACCTGGTAACCTTATATCCGAGGCCCTTAAGTCACTTCCATGTCCCTTCCGCAGCTCTTCTTCATATTTAGCATTGATTTGAAAGGCTGTCTCCTATAAACATTTGTGCAAGGCAATTTTCCTTAATAGAATGCATTTTGTACTGTTGCCATCTGTCTGGGCGAAAATCCCTTAAAATAGCTCAAAAATGGCATTTTATTATTTATTTTTTTGCGATCTTGCCAAAGAAAGTTCAACGACTTTGCCCCCCCGCCCCCCAAAAAGCTCTGGATTTTCACTGTTTGAAATATGGCAACCTTAGTACTTTGTATGGTTTTCCCCTCTAATATATGCATTTATATATTCAACCTAGTATATTCCTTCTTGCGCGTGTTACTTGGCTGCGGAGTGGCGTTGCAAAATTCACAAAAGTGTGAATTTCAAGGGATTGCTATATTTCGGTTCCTGTCTTGCTTGGAAAGTATGAGCTGAGTAATATTGCTTTTAAATGCAAACTGATTCAAATTTTCTCCCCAGTCCCCAGAAGCTGCAAATGTAGCTATATTCTCTCTGTTCTGTTTTCTTTCTCCTCTCAGACTTCCCCCAAGGTTCCTTTTGCATTTCACTCCCTCGCCGAATTCCTAATCCTCAGTGATCCCCCCCAAGCCTCCTTCCTTTGGTCTATGGCCTTCTCATGCCCTTCGCTTTTGCTTTCCTTGTCCCTTCTGCCTATGCTTTCTTTAGGACAGAAATGGGAAACTTGCAACCCTGTCAATGTTGCTGGACTCTTCTACTCCCATCAGCTCCAGCCAGCATGACCAATTGCAAAGGATGATGGGATTTGTAATCCAGAAATATCTGCTTGCCATACCTTCCTATGGCTTTTAGGGTTCTGTCTTGACTGCTCCATAACTTGTAAGATTTGGAACAAAACTGAATTGCAAGGTGAGCGTTTCATCAGCCTGCTTGGCCAAAAGTATACTGCACAAAAAAGACACCCAGCTATCATGTGAGACGAAATAAGTGGGTGCTAGTGAGTTCATTGCAAAAAGAGTAACATTCCCAACATGACCAAGAGAGAGGTGGTTTGTTTGTTTTTCTTTCCCACAAGCTGAAATATGAATGAATGTCCTCACGGATCAGTTGAGTCATACCGGCCTGATCACAATTTAAAATAAAAAAAAAATCAGAGCAATCTTCTGTCTGAAGGCAAAGAAAACCATGAATTCTCTAGGAATGGGGTCTGGTGGAATTATAAGGAGTCAAAGGAGGTTTTCTCTGCGATCACTTCACCAGCAGGAATTGTGTAGGGGGAGAAACTGCACAACATAAACAGACTTCTTTTCTTGCAGACATCCTGTGAAACATGAGCATTCTTCCATACCAGAAGAAATGTGTATATAATTTAATTACTTGATAGGCTATCATGCATAATTGCTAATCAGGCTCAGACATTCTTGCAGAGTTACAAAGACAAGAGAAACATCCACTCGGGTCAGAGCTTGCAAGCATCAAGGGTCTGGTGCACACTGTTGCGTATGATCCCAAGATCGCTGTCTGTAACAAAGTGTGCATGTTGTTCCATTTATGGGCAAAATAAAGAGCTGGCCCTGTTTCTAGGATTGGTTCCCATATTAGCCTTTTCAACACTTGGTTGAATATCAGTTTAAGGACTGAAGATGTCTTATATGAACAGCCCCAAAATAGCATTTCATGCAGCTGGGGTCATACATGGGCACACTTTGATATTTAAATCCTTTAAAAACATAAAATAAAAGCGTATTACCTAGAAATCCCACCTCTATATACTATGGAAAATGAAGTAACTGACAGCACAAAATGCTTTCTTTGTTGTCAGAGCTTATTTGTGCCGCCTTTATATTGGATTTTATTACATGTATAACATAAATATGGATCGCATTCAACAAATATGTTTGTGTGTGTGTGTGTGTGTGTGTGTGTGTGTGTTCCTCTATTACAGGAAATCTATCCCTCCCTGTGCAAGTTGAGCTTCAAATCCTCTCCATTTTATCACATATGCGCCTTGCCTTATTGCAGGTGTTCACACACTATATTCAATGAGCATACAGTTTGTGTCCCAGGGTGCACAACAGCCGAGCTGTACAAACAAAAAAAATTGTATGCTCTTTCACACAAGCACTCACACCTGTGTAGAGAGAGCTTGTACCTGTGCCAAATGTGAACAAGTCTAAAATTACACATGTTCTTGGCCGCCGCTACAAATCCCCTTCCCAGTAGTCAATACTGTTGTTGTTATTATTATTATTATTATTATTATTATTATTATTATTATTATTACTTTTAGAAATGTCTACAGTAAATATATATTCAAACACATTGTTGAATAATACATTTTCATGCAGGTTTTTAAATTTAAAAATCACAGAACAGCACAGAACAGCATGGAGACAGGACTGGACAGATTTATGAATAACGCCATGTGAAATAGATTTGGGCCCATGGTAAACTGACTCATGTATCCCTGGTCAATTGTCATTTCTTGGTGTCTGTGAGCCCCATCATGTCAGACTCGTTTTCTGTTGATATTCAGCACTCTCCCCCTCTCTCCAGACTCAGGGAACCCCTGAAAACTTTAACCAGGTTTGTGCGACGCTGATTGCAGAGATTCCCGAATGCACGGGCAGAAGATGAAGGAGCGGGTAGAATTTCTATAAAAAATCAAAGTGGCCTAACTCTTATTTTATTGTTTTGTGGAACACTGCCTTTGGGACAGGAGGACAGCACTTCAGTACCTTTCTAAGTATACCGAAAGATTACGACAAATTATCTGGAGAACAAGCCAAACGGGAAATGAGAATCCCTAGAAACACGAGCCCCACATCAACTGACAGTTGATAAGATCACAATATAAGCTGAGATAGAAAAGGGGGGAAAGGAATATAAAAAGTAGAACAAAGAAAGTAATGGAGAGGGTGGGGAGGTTGGTTAAAGCAGAAAAGGCTGGGTAAAAGCAGCATCTAATAGAAGCTCTTCTGTCCTCGGAGCCAGTGTATCGTTTACTGTAGCGGGACCAAGATATTTTAACGAAGGCATTCATTTATCATAAAAACGATATGGGGGTATCTTGCAGACCAGCCGCGAGTCTCGCCAAGGGTAAAATAGACAGCATAAATTGTGTCCAAATGTCGAAAGAGAGAGGATCGCGACTCTTCCAGTGCAGCAAAACAGTCCACGAGGCATAAAACAAAAAATAAAAATAAAAACCTGAATGGAAAGCTTCGTATAATCCAAGCCAATTCACTTGAACAGCAATATCTGACTGTTTGCAGATCTTAATGGCACCCATGCGCAGAACAGCACCAAGCAGAAAAGTGCAGGCGGAAGTGAAATGAGAAGTCACATTTAGAAGTGTCCAAATTAGGATGTACTGAAAGACTGTGGCAGTACAGTACAAATTTGCTGACAATGTCTTCAAAGGACATTTTAATGGGGTTTGCATTCTCCGCAGGCGTAACAACGTCACTTTATACCTAGTGGAAATCCTACTCGTGATATTTCACCTGGTGGTTCTCCAGTCCCATGTTGTTTTCCGTAAACCCTTTGAAACCTGCCGAAGTTGTTTTTCCTCCATCAAACAAGCACTTAGAGACGGACATGTAACTGTAGGGTTGCTCAGGAGAGCTGGGCTTCAGGCGCTGCTCTTAAAAACACATACAAAATGTTACAAAGCAAAAATGTGTGCGTCTAGGTGCCAGGTTACAGAGCCCGGCTACAAGTTTATAGAGTCCTGACCTTTATGTTTCTCCTCTTGGTTAATTTTGATTTAGGCTGTAATCCTAAACATGCTGACTATAGAATAATCCCCACTGGAACTTAGCATGACTTGCTTCTGAGCGAAAACACATAGGGTTTTCTGTTAGGCTGAATTAGATGATACACTGAGCATCAGATTTATACATAATGTTGAATTCTTGGCGTTGGAGAAGTCATGGAAGAGAACGATATATTTTTTTGGCTTGCTATTTGATTAAGGAGAATATATTTAAGATGGTTTCTTGGTGGTATCTGACACCCAGCAAACTCTCTAAAATGTATAAGAGAGGATCAAATCTGTGTTGGAATTGCCTAGAAGCCGAGGGCTCTCTAGTACATACATGGTGGCCATGCCATGAAATTCTAGGAGATGGTGTATGAATAATTTAAAAAAAAAAAAACCCAAACATTTAAACTCACATTTCAAAAACAAACAAACCCAGAAGCCTTCCTACTGGCTATAATAGGAGAGGAGATACCAAAGAGAGTTTGGATTTGATATGCCACCTTTCACTCCCCTTCAGGAGTCTCAAAGCAGCTAACAATCTCATTTCCCTTCCTCCCCCACAACAAACACTCTGTGAGGTGAGTGGGGCTGAGAGACTTCAAAGAAGTGTGACTGGCCCAAGGTCACCCAGCAGCTGCATGTGGAGGAGCGGAGACATGAACCCGGGTCCCCAGATTATGTGACTACCGCTCTTAACCACTACACCACACTGGCTACACAAAGCAAATACACAATTTGTTTTTGTATGCAACAGCAACCGCAAGAATGGTTTATGCAAGGAACTGGAAAGAAGAAGCCATTCCAACAAAAGACCAATGGTTGTATAAACTAATAGCATTCGTAGAATTAGTGAGTATGACAGCTAAAATAAGGAATTAGGAGGAGAGGAAAACAAGGGGCAAGTAGGAACACCTTGGAGAATGTTTAAAAAGATATGGCATTAAGATTAAATTGAAAGTAGGGGTGAACCATTGAATAGCAGTTGACAAAATAAAGGAACTGAAGGGAGGAAACTAGGGTGGAGAAATTAATGGTGATGCAGCAAATTTAAGGGCTGTGGGTATTTTTTAGAATGTCACTGATGGGTAGGTTGAGAAGTCTGCATTGAAATATTGTAAAATGGAAAATGTATGAGGTGTGTAACGAAAACTGGAAAATGCATAAATAAAAACAAAATAAAAAATAGCCTGAATTAGATGCAGACCAAAATAATAACAGTAAGTGGAGGACAGCAAACAGGTTTGTAGCATATATCTTTTTCTGCTCTGCAATTTTTAGATCCAGATTAAACAGTTGTTAGTACTCCCTCATATTTAAGCTTAATAGATCTAGTATAACTATAGACTCACATGGAGAAGTATGGTGAAAAACATCCCTAGAAAACAGACCCATTTGTGAATGGGTTAGAATCTCATGCAAGAACTGGATTTGACAACTAATACCTGCTCTTCACTGTTACAACGTATTGGTGCACAGAGACCTAAAACCAAAAGTCAATCCAGTCTTGTATTTCATGTTCAAAGTGCTTTTTCCTACTGTACAAGCCAAGCATCTGGTAAGCAGCAGAGACTCAGCTGCTGGGAGGTCAAGTTAGCACTATTACCCAAACTGCTAGTAAAGGGACCGGTCATGTTGTGCGGATGTCTGATGATCGTCTTCCAAAGCAACTACAGTGGTACCTCAGGTTAAGTACTTAATTTGTTCCGGAGGTCCGTTCTTAACCTGAAGCATCACTTTAGCTAATGGGGCCTCCTGCTGCTGCCGTGCCTCCGGAGCCCGATTTCTGTTCTCATCCTGAAGCAAAGTTCTTAACCTAAGGTATTATTCATGGGTTAGCAGAGTCTGTAACCTGAAGCGTCTGTAACCCGAGGTACCACTATACTCTATTCCAAACTTTAAAATGGAGAGCGTAATGCTGGTGGTCAACAAAGGGTTTAAAGACTGTCTCAAGGCAAATCTAAAAAAATGTAGTATAAACACTGACAACTGGGAAACACTGGCCTGCGAGCGCTCCAATTGGAGAACAGCCATTATCAAAGGTGTCATGGGCTTTGAAGACACTCAAACTCAGGGCACAAGGGAGAAACGTGCTAAGAGGAAGGCACACTTGGCAAATCCTCACCGTGATCAACTCTCACCTGGAAACCAATGTCCCCACTGTGGAAGGACTTGTGGATCCAGAATTGGCCTCCACAGTCACTTACAGACTGATTGTTTATGGAAGACAATCTTACTCGGCTACGAGTGATCACCAAAGAAGAAGTAGTAGTAGCAAGGGAGAAGGGTTGTAGCTCAGTGGTGGAGAATGTGTGCTTTGCATGCCAAAGATCCCAGGTTTGAACTCTGGCATCTTTCAAGTCAAGTGAAAAAATCATGGAAAACTATTATCGGCCAATGTAGACAGTTTTGAGACTGATGGGCCATTGATGCGAGGCTCTATAAGGCATCTCCTCATGTTTTCTATGTGTTTAAAGCAGGGAGGCTGTGCACCTCCTTGGCTGCCACTCAGCATCAGCCAAGTGCTACCTGCTCATCCCATCTCACCGAATGCATCACCCACTGTGCTGAAAGGCCAATACAGTGGTACCTCAGGTTAAGTACTTAATTCGTTCCGGAGGTCCATACTTAACCTGAAACTGTTCTTAACCTGAAGCACCACTTTAGCTAATGGGGCCTCCTGCTGCTGCCATGCCACCGGAGCACGATTTCTGTTCTCATCCTGAAGCAAAGTTCTTAACCTGAAGCACTATTTCTGGGTTAGCGGAGTCTGTAACCTGAAGCGTCTGTAACCTGAAGCGTATGTAACCTGAGGTACCACTGTAGTCCCATATGACACACATTTCTTCAGAAGTAGCTCACATTGCGTTCGCTGAGATTTACTCCAAAATAAGCGCATACCAACTTGCAGCATTTAAGGCTGCATCTGGAGACCAGGAGAGCTTTCTGAAGTGTTGCAAAGGTAGCCAACAGATTTCTCTGTGGATGCGAGGTGCTGTGGAACAATTGCTGTGACGCTTCTTCAGCTGAAGGCATCAGTTACACTTCTCCTTAAGTCACCAGGCAGCATATTTTATTTTTTATTTTTTAAAAGTGAAGCGTAAGTCATGGTACTTCTGCAGTGAAAGACTCCCTTGTTTTGTGAGCATTCGATCTGTTGGGCTTAACAATCTCTGCGTGTGGGGCATAGCACGGCGCTTTTGTTCCACCTGATTGAAGTTGTCAGCTAGTTTTTTCACTTCGTACAATAGATATTAGTATTTATTTTCATGGGCTGTCTGTACCAACCGGACTGCACTCAAGTTAAATGTACTTTAAACACCGATTACCCGCAACCCGTGTTTAATCTTAACCATGGGTTATGGATATTTCACCCCACAGGTATTTTTCTGTAATCGCAGTGTGTGAGTCACATAACCTATCAGGAGCGCAGATATGAACTCCTGTAATTTGGGGCATGCTTTGCAACAAGAGCATAGAATAGTAAGCTTGCAAGAGCTAAATGTTCTCTGTTTTCCAGAAGGCTCTTATTTGGTGACATTTCTCAATGCATTGCTATTTTTTACAATCACATAGCAACAACAACAAAAAACAAACAAGGGACAGAGATTGGTGGTACTCATTCAAGGCAAGGTCTACCTGTTTAAATGTTAAATGGACTCAAGACTGAAATGTGCTCTTGAAATATCCGTTTGAAACTTCGGAACAATCAGTAGAGACAAAGGATACATAGCATGCTTGGATCACAAAGATCCTCTCATTTGTGGTTAGCCCTTTGCTTTTTAAAGTTTCAAAGGAAATGACAAGGCAAGTGGGCACGACAATGTACTTGACCTTCCTGAACTGTACCTCCTACAGGCATTCAGTCATCAAATTTTCTAAGAACTTCAGGCTTTCTTCTGGTACTTTTCCTCCCTCAAACTCCATGCACAATAAGGTAGCATTTGATCACATCAGTCTTTCACACCAAGGTGGTACTTCTTGAACATATCAGCCCATTGGAAAACATGTCAGTGAAAGCTGGCTCAATAACTTTGATGCTCCCTTCCTCTGAAGATTTGCCAAAGAATGAGTGACTGTACACATTTTAATGGCACTTGGCTGGCTTTTATTGTCCAAAACTATGTTTTACGACTAGCAAGGTGATGTGTAGAAATTTAAGCAACATTAGGAGAAAATTCCAAATTGTTGGAGCTTTCTTTTTTAAAAAAAAAATAATGTATTTTTATTCTTGGTTTACAAAAGTATGTGCAATGTCTCTCTTTTTTTCAAGTAACATTTTTTACAGATCAGTTTCATTTGTTGAGACATTAGGAAGAAAAGGGGAAAGAGGTGGAGGGGGGAAAAGGTGAGTGGGGGTGGGGTCGGGTGGCGATATTTCTATTTTACTTAATATATGTGGGGTTTTGTGTCAGCGTTGCTTGTGCAGGTTCTCTGCTATCCACTTGTGTTCCTTTGGTGGTGAGGGGTTGGGGTTGGCCTAGGGTGTGGTTGTTTTGTTTGTGGTTGGCTGTGGTGATCTTTGTTTTCATGTGTGAGTGGGGTGGGTGGATGTTTTGGATCAGGTTAGCCATATTGATTTGTATGCTGTTGGTGGATTTTTGTCATTGTCCTGTTGGGCTGTGTATGTGATGAAGGGGAGCCATACTGGGGTGAAGGTGTCTTCTTCTATTTGTCCCCATGTCAGTTTCAGTTTATTGGTTAATTTTTCTAGTAAGGCTGTTTCCCATACTATTTGGTACCATTGGTCCATGCTTACTCCTGACAGGTCTCTCCAGTGTCTGGTTATGATGTTTCTGGCTGCTGAAAGTAGGTGGGTTATGAGTTCTTTGTGGTGTAGATGGGCATTATTAGCACTAGCTTTCTTGGTGTTAGGTACCACCCGTAGGTGAGTTTCAGAGTGAGTTCTTTTCTTTTCATTGATATGGATTTAAAGGGGGGTTTAGACCACATTCTGGTCCATTGAGTGGGGTTAATCTCATAGCCTATGTTATCCTCCCATGGTTTTTTGATTGCGTCTAGGGGATTCGTGGGATTTTGGAGTAGTATTTTGTATATTGTGGATACCATCCCTTTACCGTGTCCGTTTGTTGTTAGGAGAAGGTTTTTGAAGGTTGTCAGGGGCGTAGTTGTTGCTGATTTTACTTCTGGGTTGTTTAAGAGGGCATGTAATTGGTGGTGTGCTAACCAGGGCATTTGGGTATCTTCTAGTTTGTCCTGTATTTCTTGTGTTGACAAAGGTTTGTTATTTTTATAGAAGTCTATTAGGTGATATAAACCTTTGGTTTGCCAGGTTTTTATCTGGAGGTTTTGTGTTGCTTGGTGGAATAATGGGTGGTACGCCAGGGGGATTAGTGGGGATGGGGTTGGGGATAGTTTGCCTATTTTCCATGCTTTGAGCATGGTCTGTGTGTACCTGTTAAGTGTTGTGGAAATTTTCCTTTGTTTGTTTGGATGGAGTGGGTATGCTGTGGTGCAGGTATTTTCAATTGTGTCCCTCTCTAGGTGTATCCATTGTTTAGTATATATGGGATTATATGGCGTATTTGATTGGCAATGTAATATGCTTCTATGCTGAGGATTCCCCATCCTCCTTCTGAGGTGGGGAGGTGCAGGTATTTGGGGCTTATTCTTGGTTTTTTATGTGAGAAGATAAAAGAGTGTAGTTTTCTCTGCCATCTGTAGAGTTGGGTTGGGGGAATCCAGATTGGAAGGGTTTGGAATAGGTAGGTTAGTTTTGGGAGGGTGATTTTGATCATGGCTATTTTGTCAGAGAGAGTGAAAATCATGTTGTTCCATCTCTTTAGATCTTTGTTAATTTGTTGCCACAGGGGCTTGTAGTTGTGGAGGTACAATTTATTGAGGTTTCTGGTTATTTGTACCCCTAGGTATCTGAACTTGGTGTGGCAAAGTTTTATTTTGGTGACATTAGTGAGTTATTTTTGGCTGTGAGGAGGGGTGTTGAAGCACATAGCTTCTGACTTTGCAAAATTTACCTGTAGGCCCAACACCATTGCAAATGTGTTGAGTTCTCTGATTAGGGAGGTTGCTGTGCTTATGAGGTCTGGTGTTGTGACCATTAGGTCATCTGCAAAGAGCCCTAATTTATTGTTGGAGCTTTCTAATTCTACATTAGAAGGGACCTGTGAAGCTGTAAGTGGATACAGGGCTACCTGGGACTTCACAGTGGAAGGTTCCTTGGAGGAACTGCCTGCTGTACCAGGATATCTTCAAATGGCAAGGTAAACACCGAAGCACAAATGTGCTTATTAAGGTCTCCAGGCAGAAGTTGGAGCTTCCAAAAGTAGTGTTATGAAGTGCTGTGTACCATCCTACTGAACACACCTGATTACCTCTAGCATGATGCTCCCTCTAACCTTACGCAGTACTTCACAGATATGTCCCTCACTTGGCTTAGGTTCTTCCACTCAGGTGCCACTTTCCAAGAGGAAGTAAGGCTCCACCCACTTCCTGCTAGGGGTTGGCAACTTGTGGGACATGCTGTAATCCCATGCAGGTTGGCGAGGAGGAGAAACAGGGACAAAGACAGAGAGATGCCCCTCCATACATTGGCAATATCCACCACTGACTCCAGGGACTCATCTAGATGGGTAAAGAAAAAGCGTTTTGCATGTGCTGTGTATGCAGTATAATACTGTGACACCAGATGGCGCTGTGGAGTCCCACCTTTCCCAACCGGATTTCCCTGTATGAGTTTACAATGCGCTTAACTGAAATGCTTCTTTGATGTGACTAGATCCAGCCCAGCTCCACCTATCCCAAGAGGAAAGAAGTGCTCAAAAAAGAAGGTTCCCACCCCAATATAAGCAGCTATTTAGCAGCCAGCTTGCCATTTAGGAGGCAATTATTTTCCATATGGGGCTCAGGATAACATAGAACTGCCTTTTGGTTATCTATTGTTCAGCACTGCTGACAGCAAAAGAGTAGAGCCCATTGTGAGTTCCTGTTTTGCTCCTACTCTAGGGCAGCTGCCTATGAGCTGCTTCCCGGTTCCCTTCCAGACTGTTGGGCCAGTTTAGCACTTCCTGAGCCCTGAAGAATGATGATTGCCTCCTCGTAGTAGTATGTCTTGCAACATTCTGTGAATTTACAGTGGTGAAATAATGCCAATTTATTTCAGCAGAAATCTGGGTGTAGATTCGAGCCATTTTATACAGATATAAAATGGAAATTATTCAAGGCAAAGACAGGTTTATGAAGGCCTGAGAGCAGCCTCTGAATTGGGCCCTCTAAGTCTTTATCTCGGATGACGCGCCTTCCCCGTTAGCTTCTGACAGAATGAAGATTCAGAGCGCTAATATGCAATAACTGTATCTCAATCTGTTGCAGGTAGTTCA